TCAGTGGAGAGAAACAGTCACCTGCAGGACAGGATTCATCTGTTTCTAAAGCAGTTGGCTAAAGCAGGGTCAGATGAACTATGTTCTAAAATATCTCTTTCCCCTTCCTGTCTGGAAAGAGAGCCCATATAAGTCAGTCAGAGGCACTCAGCTAGGCTATAGGCATCTGAAGTTAATGATGGGCTCAAAGCATCAAAATGACTCCAGAGATGAGATTCAAGTACACACATGGAATTTGCAGCAATTAATCCACTTCTCACTATGACGACTGGAAATCTTACTCTGGAGAGTGCAAATACAAATCTCAGGCTCCTATGCAATCTGTGTTACCATTTAAAATGGATCAAGATGCAGCCCTTACAATTGTAGATATACCCTTTGATATGCAAGGAAAATGCAAGTGGAAGCAACACTATTCCTGGGCCAACAGATTGATACAAATAGATCTTAGCGATGCTCACGAGCATAGCAGGAAAAATCACAAGACAGTTTTGAATTATTCTCCCTTAGATTCATGTCATCAGAGCTGTCCATCAGTTCCTAATCCTGGGTTTAAATGCACATTCCAGGAGCAGAAGGGAAGATGATAAACCCCAGATTTCTGTTAAAACAACTTTTTTTTTTTTTTTGAAGTGAACAAGGCAAATGAGTCCTTAAATAGAACTTAACGATGTAGACTGCAAATGTCTCAATATGTGGCCTGACAGAAGAGCTCATATAGCCCAAACTGATGAGCCTCTAACAGAAGTTGAACCCTAAGCCGTTCCCTTATCTCTCTCCTGACAGGTGCTGAATTGCCCCATAACACAGATGGGTGGGAACAGGTTGCAAGAACAATCCACACAGCCCAGAGCTCCTCTCCCTGTTCAGTTGCAAGGGGTTCTCTGGGAAAAGCAGAGGCAGGACTGCATCATCTTCACCAGGACACCAGCAGCCCACTGCTGGTCACTGTCTTTCCCCAGGTGCTACTCAGGGAAAACAGCAGCCTGTGGGCAAGGATGTTTCCCAGGCTTCACACCTGGGAAACAATTACAGCTACTCTACACAGACTGAGCGCACTGTGTATGCACAAAGTACAGCTCTCACCCTGAACTGTGTTCCCTCCACCTGGAAGGGCTGGGCACAGCCAGGATGAAATCTCTGTTTAGGCAGGAGCATTTACTAACACAGTGATCAGTTATCCCACATGGGCTGAAGCCTGTCAGATCAGGAACCATTTCTTGTCCTGCAGTCGCACAGTGCTTACACAGAATGAGCTGCCAGCTGGGGCTGGTGAACACTGCTGTGGTACAACTAAATAAAATCAGCCTTATTCAGACCAAATTCCAAAGCAGAGGCTGTTTGACTGCGCACATTCTAGGTTAATACAGAGGGCTTGACTAACCTCTCAATTCAAAGCAAACTAGACACCGACCTTCTCTGACAAGGAAAAAAAAAAAAAAAGCCCAAAACCAAACAACACAGCTATGGGGAAGCTGCTTCAGGACTCAAAACCAGTCATTTATTAAAACTGAGAGATTACTTCTCCCAATGAAAGGCAAACAAACCCCAGAATCATCTCCTCCATCACATGTGAGAAACTGTTCAACCTCCAATTCAAATGCTAATTACTTGCCAGAATCCTAACCTGAATTCTCCCCAGCTTCCAAGGAGGATTAAAAAAATAGACATGAGAGATCTTCATCTTTCCCTTTCTAAATTTATATGAATTATGTAATTGCACTTTTAAAGGACTAGAGCAAGTGACTAAAAAAGTAATGCAGAATAAACTAACACCACTTGTGACAAAGCAGGAAAAGAATACTTTTCAAAGCAGAAAAGCACTTTCTACTTCCAGAGAAATGTGAAAAGAGAAAGTAGAAGACACTATAATTGCATAAGTGAAAAATTATTCAATGACAATGGAATGTATGGCAAGTTATTTTAATTGCTGAGTTTATTACAGTCTTTAAATGATGTAAAGGATACCCAGAGAACAAGGATGGCAGTCATCTAAGAGAAGGTGTACCCAGTTAAAAACACCTTCTTAAAAAGTTAAAGCTACCTTCTTAACATACATATCTGATAAATTATATACACATACTGGCAGAGTAATCTAGCAGGAGGGGCTCACAGGCATTTTCTTAAGGCAAAACCATGTCATTGTGAAATTATAAATGAAATAATGATTATCAAAGTGAAGTGCCTGAAAGTATTTTGCCAAAATCATTTAGCTCTGGACTAAAACTCCAACAGACAAGGAAAGACCAATTAATTTTCTCATGGTAGGATTTCAGTTTAAATTCAAAAGGCAACTTATATCCATTGGGGTTTTTTTAAAAGGCATGTGGTATACACTCAATTGATTTTAGGACAAATGTATTTGTATTACTACACCTTTAATCAAGACTTTAGAGGAAGGCACTGTGAAGCAGAAGAAAAACAGTCCTTATGCTGAGGGCAACACAATGGTTCCCCAGTAGAAGCTCACAGGAGCAAGATAAATGTTTGTAGCCTCTCCAATAAGCAAAATTACTGCACTTTGAATGTGAGAATAGTGATGTATGACAAACAAGAAGCTCAGCCTGCCAGAAACTTTGTTGTTCCAAAAAGGTTAGAAGCCACTAATTTAGAGTATATTACAAGAGACAGTGTGGAACAAAAAACAGCTATTGGGAGAGCACAAGGAATGAAAAAGAAAATCACAACCCCCCTGACCAGCATCCTAAGGAGGAGTACTCCCAGCAGTGAGAGAGCTGTCTTGCTAGGTCAGGTGGGTTTTGGGAGCGCAAGCTAATCTCCACTAGCAGCCCTGTGTTACTATCCCTGTAAGCCCAATGGCTAAGGTGTGAGACAGAGTGTCTTTAGAAGGGTTTAGGAAGTCCAAGAGCTCTGCACGGCCAGGCACAGTGTCACTGCCCCCAGTTTAAAGGCAGACCCACGGAGCAATTGCGCAGTTTGCTCACGGACAGGCAGCACAGCCAGGTAACAAACTCTGATGCTGTGCACAGCAGGCTGTGCCTGGCTCACAACCACATCCTGCTTTTCTTTGGTGCCAGCAGAAGGAAAACAGCACTACACCAAGCAGTGGGAGATATCCCTCAAATCTTCATGATATACAAAGCCTTAAGGAATGCACATTACAGAAAGATTTAGTTTGCTGGCATGAAATCAAACGTATAAACCCAAGATTATTCACAAAGATCAAGACAACCTTCAAAGAAGCCAGAAATCCAGGGGGAATCAAAGTATTTCCAAGCAGTTCCACTTTTCTCACACAAGCCAGGGAATCTCAGAGAGAGGGTCATAAATAATGGACTTTATTTTCATTCTTTGCATATACTCTTGCTGATGCAGTGCCTAGTGTCATCTGGAGATGTAAGCTGATAGAGAGTAATTTTTGGATACTCAAACACACCTTAAAAGGGACTTTTTCTTGGAATAAGAGTGTTTGATTTCTGAAATACAAACTACTGTAATGTACTAATTGCTTTACATAGCCTACGAGTATTAGAGCATTTCTGAGCAAAATCAGATTTTGCTCAACAAAAGCCTCTGTAAACTAACAAGGAAAGGCATTTCAGGATGCAGGGACTGAAGGCAGCATATTCAAATTAAGTACCTAGTTAAACATCAAAGTAACCAGCCATTGACAGAACTATCCTTGTACAGGAAAGAGTCACCATTACTTGATGTCCTCAAAGCAAGATCAGAGGATTCTGCTCAAACATACATATATGTATATATGTGATCATGTTTAAGCCACAGTTAATGGTTACATGTTGAAATCAGCATTAATGCAAGCAGCCTTTCTCAGACATTTATTATGAGTTGTTCTGGTCAAAGACAATTTACTGAATTGAAATCAGGTGCATGGAAGTGCTGGTTAGACTAAGAGGCCTATCAGGAAAGTTTGACTTAAGTTGACAGAACACAGCACAATAGAGGACAGGATCACTGCCTGCAAACACACTTGAGGAGAGGGAGCCACAAGAAATGCAGAGAGACATTTAAACCATGGGATTATCATGGTGCAGAAATGAGATAAACCAACCAAAAATTCTTCTTGGCTGGTCGTCAGAGAAATCAGAGTACGAAGTAGCTGTGATCTGGAGCAGCTTCCCAGTGAGAGAAGTCAAAGAGGAGAAGAAAGCAGATAAAGAGAGAACCCAAGAGTCCACAGAAAGGGCTCCTGCCCCACGCTGATCTCTCAGGAGCAGGGAATCTTCCTGCTTGGAAAAGTCCTTGGGACTCAGGCTTGGAAAATCAGGTTGTCTTTCTAGGTCTAAGCTTACACTCAGAGTTCAATAACTTGGTAACATGCTATCACTGGATGAGAGGGGCTTGCATGTTTTGGGGCAGGTTTCCTGTGTATTTCTAAAACAGGAAAATTTTTATTTTCTTTAGACACAAAGACAACTTCTGTTTCTCATCAGCTCTCCTACAGTTTGGGAGAACACACAGCAGGAGTAAAGCATTGCAAGAAGAGATGATTTAGGATCTAATCTTGAGTAACGTGTGCAGTCAGACAGGACAGCATGAGGAGCTCTACACTCCACCACCAGAGGTGAACTTCACAGATGTTTCACTGTCAAGATCGTCCAGCTCTTACCAACAGAGGGAGGGAGAACTAAAAGGTACTGAAGAATCAACATCAAAGTGCAAGAGATTCAAAGAGAAGGAATGCTCTGCACCAGCTCCTGGGTTATCATTCGGTCTCAAAGTATGAAGTATTTGCCCTTCCTTCTGCAAACCTGATCCACAGGCCCTGGATTTAGCCACCCTTACTGCAGCACACTGGAGTCAGTAATCATGGAAGTTAAAGCCAAAGTCACATCTACCTAGTAAGGAAACTGCTGGAGCTGCTCTTGCTCTCTCTGCTTCAGAAGCAGTTTACCACAAACCATGAAAACACAGACACCGGGAGTCAGGAGAGCTGCATTACCCTCCTGACAGTTCACCCCAAGCACAAGTCATAAGTTTTCCATAACTACTTCATTGTCTCCAATGCCCTCACTCACCCTCTCTGTACACAAAGCTTCCCCTCTTTGGAAAGTGTAAAGAGACTCTTCTGTGCTCAGACCTGTAATGTAAAAACAAAATCATGTGTTAATGATATTTAAACTGACTTAATGAAATAGTTTCAATTCCACCCTTCCTTCCTCCCAACTCCACCCTCTCCTTCGAGAGGGAAATTTGTTTTGGTTAATATGGAGGGGGAAAAAGGTAAGTTAAAAATAGCCTACTTTTGCCTTAAAGCTATGAATAAACAGCCTGAAACAGGAATGCAGTTTATCTGCCCACCAAATTCCTACACTGTTTTCTTGTTCTGCTTTCCAAAACGTTTTTTTAAGGATCAAACACAGAGACTTAGATCTGCAGAACCAGTGGTATCCCAGAACTGCCTGCTTCCATGCTAGTAAGATAACTGGTTTTGGAATGAGAAGGAATGATTTGAAACTGAATGAACCAAAGATATAATCTAGGACCGTTAAGTGCTAGAATATTTGAGCAAATCTCCTGGCATCAGAGGAATCAATATGAAAAAAATTTAATAAAATCCACCAAGAGAACAGAAAAGCCTTTCTCGTTTCCCTTTAACTGAGCAACAGACAAACTGCATTATCTCCCAAAAATCTACCTTGCCAGTAAAAAGCACTCACGCTGTTATCCTTATCTTAGACCCAAGTCACATCTGTCTCTGACAACAACAGCTGTCAACACTGAAAGAGCAGGGTGATCAGCCAGCCTTTTCACCCTGGGCTGGAAGCCAAAGCAAGGGTGGCTTATGTATTTGCAGCGCAAAACCAAACAAACTCTTTATTCTGTTCCCGGTGCTATGCCATTAGCAAGCAAGCCGATCAGCTCCAGGGAGTATGCTTGCAATCTGAATATTTGAACCCAAACTTAATTTTCCCTTATTTCCCTTCCACTATATCCCCAGTGAGCTCCAGGTAATGCCATAGGAGTCACGTGTACTATCCCACCATGGCAGACAGAAGCCTCTTGGCAGAGTCGCCTTTCATTCCCAGTTTCCCATAGCGTGAGGCATCAGAGCATGCTGCCCTGGAGTGCCACAGACACTGCTATGATACCTGATAGGAGTTACATCTTAGGAAAGGAAACCACCTCCCTTCCTCTTACAGCAGAAGAGCCCTCTGGAAGGAGAAAGGAAATGTCTCACTTTCATCTCAGAGTTCAGAGGGAATATTTTATAGCTGTCAATCCTATAAAGATCTTACTCATTCACACACCAGGGACAGCAACTATTCTAAGGTAGGCTGTACAGCCATGAAAAAGCCAGGTTCTGAAAAGGACTTTGTCTGGTGACATTTGGAAAGCAAGGTGAAAGACTTTACTATGACCCTAAAGTAAATACTGAAAGCCAACATGCAACAGGCAGGCCAGAGGAGTTAAGCAGATGAGGCTACACAAGGCAAAGCCACATGAGGAACATGGTAGCACCTGCCAGTGGAATCCCAGGTGAGGAGTGTGAACCCAAGCTAACATCTGGAGTCCCAGGTCCAAGCAAGCACTTTCACTCAGAGAGACGAGACATCCTCAGTGATCAGAGTGGGACAGTGCACGCTGGGATCTCACACACACTCATCAGCATCACTGCCATGATACACAACCCCTCATTCCCCATCCACACACATCTTCTCACCTTGACTGCTAAAAAGGCTTCAGGGATACTATTTAGGCTGTGCAGAAATATTAGAGAAAGACATCCTGGTTACACATTATGTTATTTCTTCAACCACTCTACTGGAGCAGTCACTGGCTCCATGTTTACCCTCAGCTCCCACCCCAAGTGAACAGTGTCCTTTAAAAGACAGGAAATGCGCACAGAGACCAAACCATAATACTGAATGCTCAGAGGGGATCTGTAAGCAGATCACAGAGCTGGAACTGGACTTGCAGAGCTCTAAGATAGCTACCAGACCATTCTCTTTCCAACAGACACATCTGCCAGCATTCACTTGTGCAGCTTGTAGAGGAAGTCTGAAGGCTCAACAAAGGAACAATGAAGTGAGAGTAAAAAGTCCAGATTGCTGTGGGTTAAGAAAATGCATCAGCAGGGCTACCAGTATCCACTCTGCATCCAGCACCAGGGCTGACCTGCTCTGCACAGAGCCCTGCTCAAGCAGCTACAACTGCAGAGTTCTGCCTCCTCAAGGATGCAGTAGCCAAATGTCGTAGTACACAAATGTCTTGGATATCACTCATCTGCAACCTCATCCCTCTGTTGTCAGCTAGTTTTAACTGGGGGTGGCTTCCCTGGTTTCAAGAGGGATTCAGCTTTCCCAAGGCACTGTAAAGAATGAGAAGGAAATGGACAATGACTCAATTGAAAGAGAGAACAAGCAACATGTGCGGAAACAATCCCATTTTTGATTAAAAGCAAAAAAAAAACCACTTAAAAGAAACCAGCCAAGGGTGTTTCTTAGCAGAAACACAAAGTCTCAGGCTCCTGTACAGCACTCAGCTCAGTGTACCTCAGACTGTGCATACCAGCCACTGCCTTCAATGACACTACTTTACAGCAACTCTCTTAAGAAAACACCCACAATCACTACAGATGATTTGTCAGGAATAGTAATTGATATAAGCCAGAATGTCTTTGCCTCAGCCAGTAGATTCTGCCAGCTATCTATCCATGAACCAAGAATCTGCTCCTTTGAGCAGTGTCCTCCTTCAGCCAATACACCAGCACCAAGTGTTCTGAACTTGGGTGCAAAGAAAGGAGCGGAATTCAAGGAGTTAAGAAATCTTGGCTGCAATTATCAGGAAGAACAGTGGTAATGCAAGGTACAACCATGGCCCTGATCAATATTCTTAATACACAAAGTATGCATCTCAGGGCATGTCTGCAGCACTGGAAGCAGTCTTACAGCTGAGCAGTTGTTTTTTCCTTCAACTCAGCCTCACTTTTAACTACTCTTGATTAAAAGGATTACTTTCACTCAATATTCAATTTCTGACAGGTAATATTCTCTACATATGTTGCAAGCTGGCTCCATCCTTACAGGCAAAACACAAGAGCTCCCTAGAAGCAAATTTTCTTATTTTGTAAGTCATGTATAATTTACACATCTGCAATATTGACACAGGCTAGAAATATACATCGTGCCAAAATCATTTGCTAAAAGCTTTCCACAGATTTGAGGGCATTTTCCTCTTAAGGCATTGTTCCTCTTGCTACTGCTATTAGTTCTCAGGAGAATCCATTACCTGAGTACAATTAATTCCTGTACACTCAACTTCAGAACCCGAAATCTAAACCATGTCAACATTCAATGCCATTTAACTGTACAAGTGTCTTGACAGCCCCTTAACCACTCACAGGGTTTTTTTTTGTTCATTTAGTCCTCAAGTTTTCATCAAAACAAACACTTCCACATGCACAGATGTGCTCCCACCGTTCTAGTCTCGCAGATGGATTCCACACAGGAATTCAGAAGACGGTTCATCTCTTCCATCCAGGTAAATATTGTCAGAATTGTCTGAGAACTGGAGATGGCCTTGCAAGCAATTGTTATCATTGTTATGCAAAATACTGAAATCACTCGAGTCTGTTTTACTGAGTTATTAGCACAAGAGAATTATTGACAAAAGAATCACAGGCAAGTTATATGTTACATGGACATTTACAGACAGCTGGCAGAATTAGAGAAGCATTTTCTTCATTTCCTTTAGGTGGAAACTAAAAGGGGGAATGAGGCTTTCCAAGAGTTTTCATTCGGTTTCCAAATAGCACTGAATTAGGTAGCTCTCTTGCACTGCAGAGAAAATTCCATTATCTCAGTTTAAGAGTATATCCAGGTAGAGACTCGGGAACACTCCAGCACTGAGTCACCCTCTATTTTCACCTGCCATGCCTATGACTAGATGTCACACAGGTATGATGTGTTTCTGGCACTCTGAACAAGTTTAATCTTCTTTACTCAAGTAATACTTTTTTCCCCATTTTTTATTTAAATAAGTTTTTCTTTTTGAAGCTGTTCTCAGGAACAAAATATTTTGTCCAGTTCTCATCTTGGCTATTGGATGAATAATTAGAACACTCACCCAAAGCACATAGTCTTTGATCATTTCCCTCAAGGTATGCAGCTGGCCAGGAGAATTTGCAACTATGACCTTCGAATATAAGAAGTGTATGTATTCTTTTGGCCTGGGATTCATAAATCAAAGCTTTATGCAGTAGCAAGTGAACTGACAAAGTATAAATAGAGAAATATATAATTATCACAGACTACAGCTAACAAATCCTCACTGGAGGAAACAGAGTGTGTGCAGGAGAAACTCACTGTAACTGGGGGTTTTGCAGATGGCACAGAAGATGCAATTGGAAGGAGCTCTTGACCTCACACAGCAGAAACAGCTGGCCCCTTCAGTGATGCCACTGCAAGACACAATCCAACAGATTCATGAGGAAAACAGGCAGGTGGTCATCAGGAGTCACTTCAGGACCAAACTTTTCAATCTAGTATTACTGCTCCCACAACCCCCTTCACCTCATCTCTGTACTTCCCCACACACTGTTCAACGTCAGTGGGGATTGTTACTAAAATGAAACTTGGGTCACCATATAAACATTTCTTCTTGCACACTTTCAATACAGAATTTTAAAAAAATTAAAAAGAGGTGATTTTGTCATTGACTCCACTTTCAAACTGTGAGAGTGAACATGCAATGGCAAGAGAATAAGGCACATCGGGCATGTAGAGGAAAGTCCAGGTACAGAGTATCTACAGAACAGCAGGCTGTGACTTACAGTCCACCAGCAGTACAAAAAACAAGCTTTGTGGGTCCTAAGGAACAATGCACAGAAAGCATTCAGAAGACAGTGTGGGATTCTTTTTCCTATACAGGGAAAAGGTCATGGCAAGGAAAAGTAAAATTGGTAAATACTTGTAAACCTTTAAGTTTCTTAGGCTGACAAATGCCAAGGAAACAAGTTTAGCTTTGTGGAAGCAGTTTATGCAATAAATACCCACAAATAAAAAGCATCTTCTGCTGGAAGTGGTAAAATTTCACCAAGTGATGCTGCATAGTGAAAAGCAAGTATATAGCTATATTCAAATGCACAGAAACATTTGAATGCACAATCAGCCAATGCATAACAGGTTAGCTCTACCTACAAAAGCAGCAGTAATGTCAGAGCCATAGACAAAACCTTCAGAGAAGAACAATCCCTTCCTTTTCCATGGCAGCTTTATAGTTGATAATGAGTTACACCACAGTTTTTGCCACAAGATTTTTGCTAGCGTATACATTTTCTCAGCATAAAGTTTGGAACTGCAGATAGATTTTCTAGTTAAGCACAGTGGAATTAATAACCATAAATTATGTAGGATTAAAAAGCCAACCTCTAAAAAAGAACTGTTCCATCCTTAGTGACCACACACAGACGAGACTGTGCTTTATCTACCCACTTGAAAGACATTAGGTCTGTAGATCAACTGTGCCTGGCTTGCCGTAGCTTAACTCCTACACTTTTTGCTGTTGTTTGTCTGGGTTTTTTAATCTTGTTATTTCAGGTGTTTAATGACACTAATTTCCAGATGGTCTAGAAATCTAACACGCCAGCAAGCAGACTACATCCCTGTTACATGCAGGAGTGTCGCTGTCTGATGTTTTACTGTTATATAAATCAAGCTGTCCCTGAAGAGGCATCAGCAATAGTATTGCTTTATTTTGATTTTTCTAAAACAAAGAACTATGGAAGTTTCAAGTGTTTCTTGAGAAGAAGGAGCTGCGTGATGAGTTTTCGATTTGTTGGGTTTTTTTTCCGAAACTTGACAAACACCAGGAGCAACATCACCTTTTAAGGCAAAAGGCATCTGAAAGCAAAATCCTGCTTTTAAGCCAAAGTGACTCATAACAGCAAAGATTCTTCCTACAAAAACAAACTCAATCATGAAGTAAGAACAAGCCAGAAGCTCTAGTAATAACAATTCAAACAAATCCTTTTTTCTCCACTACTTTTGTGGACTGATATTAGCTGGTTCAAGCAAGTGCTCTTGGCAGCTACAAAAAAGAAAACAAGTAAGACAGACCACCGGCCTGACCCAGACTTATCATTCATTTGCATTCCTAGAGAGTGCAGTAAACACAAGCACAGATGCACAGGAACACACTGCACGCCTTATCTTTTCTATAGGAATGCAGGAGGAAGTCTGTATCTACGCTGCAGTCACACGTGCTTTCAACAGAGCTAAGGAGCAGCTCAAGAGATAAGGCAGAGAAGATGCAGGAGCATGCACACAACACTGCCTGCAGCAAGCCTGGGTAGTTGTGTACAGCCTGATGCTTAATGCTTTAGCTTTCAGATTTTACAGATACTGTACTGCATTAGTATATAACTCTGAACTTCATATAAAGTGTTAGCATGTTCTCTTCACAGTTTTGTTAGGCAATACAATCCTTTTCCAGCCCCAGAACCAAGGACACCGTTGCAGCATCAGGCCCAAAAAGTATATACAGCAAACTAAGGAGTGCAGTCTGGGAGGATGGGACTTCATAACATGAAGCTGTAATTGGACAATTGACCCCAACATATAAATGGACCAAAACTTTAAAAAGTGCAAAAAATCATGACCCATTGTTCATCTTGGGTTTAGCCACAGCCAGGCTCTTGTAGTGCCCAAGGTGTATCCTTTGAAGGCCTTTTAATAAATACCTACTTTATTCCTTTAACTCTGTCTAGCCTCTGTTCTAGGTAGCCTCTCAAGGCATCAAGCCCAGTACCATTCTATCTTCATCAAGCCCATTAAACAATGTTAATAAAGCCACGTGAGGCAGGGCTGATCAGACTGCAGCCCTGCCTCCTGAAGCAGAGGTGCTCACTGCCGTCAGAAGAGGCAGCACTATACTCATGAGAGGACATGACCTCAGTAGGCTGCATCTAAATCTGCTCCTCAAGTCTAGAAGATATTCACCAGCAGTGTGTTCTAGGACCCCACTTTCCTCTCCACAGATGACCCTGCTGTATAATCCAATGCAAAACATTTTGTCTGCTTGTGTCCCACCTTTATTCCCAGGCTGGTTGTTTTATGGTTTTTTTTCCTGTCTGTTCTTTTGACCAGGGATCTTCTTTTACAAGATATCCCTATCTAGTTATCATGTGCTGCTGAGCAAAATGGGGCCTCTAAGCTTTAAGTTTAGTAACAGAAACCTCAGCTGCAGTGGAAGTCCAATTAGTGCACAAGGCCCCCCTCAAATCCAGCTACTCCAGACATCCTGCTCCAGAGACCAGAGACATGTTTTCAATCTTTCTGTCCTGGCTTGTGTCAAATGCTTCCAGGCTCTTTGGCATGTCCCACACCACCTGGAGTCCATCTAAAAAACTCCCTGACAACTCCCAACCCAATTTTTTTGCAGGCTAGCTTCACAAGTTCTTAGTGGGGAAGCTACAGATTAACAAGAGCAGGTGAATTGAGTCCTAATGTCGAATTCAAACTGTCTGATCAAAAATCTGTCATAGACAGCTCAACTTTCCAGGAACTTGGACACTCTGAGTTAGATGAAAGACCTGCTCTTCAATTTTCTTGCTTAGAAATACCTATACTCACTCTTCCTACTCTTCCATTCCTCCCTTGGCACTCCTGTCAAATACAGAGATCAAGGTGACTTCTGCTGTAACAAAGGACAGTTTTTCCTTAGGGCTTGTATTTATCTACACACTGGTCAAGGAACCTGGTTTCTAGATGCAGGACACCTCTCATTGCTCTAGTACTTTCTAGAGCTTGCTGCTACTTCAGAGCATCACACAATGGTTTTGCTGGAATGAACCTTAAAATCATCTTGTCCAACCCCCATGCTATGGACAGATTCACCTTCTATTAGACCAGTCTGCCCAAAGCCCCATCCATCCTGGCCTTGAACACTTCCAGGGATGAGGCAGCCATAAGCTCTCAAGACAACCTGTTTCACTTTCTAATCATCATCATTTTTCCAAATACCTAACTGAAATCTACCCTCTTCCACTTTAAAACCATTGCACCTCATTCTATCACTGCACTCCCTGTTCATCTTTCCTGCTGACCCACTAAGTACTGGAAAGCTGCTATAAAATCTTCCAGGCAGAACAACCCCTACACCTCCAGCCTGTCCCCAAAGGAGAGATGCTCCAGGCCTCTGGTTGTTTTGGTGGCCTTCCTCTGGACCCATTCCAACAGGTCCACATCTTTCTGTGTTGGTGGGCCCAGAGCTGGGTGCAGGTGGAGTCTCACCAGAGCAGAGGGGAAGGAGCACCTCCCTGACCTGCTGGCCACACTGCTTTGGATGCAGTCCAGGACACACTTGGTTTTCTAGGGTGTAAGCAGACATTGCCGGGGCACATTACTTTTTTTTAATCCACCAATACCCTGCCAAGACCTTCTCCTTAGAGCTGCTCTCAGCCCACTGTTGCCCAGTCTGTATTTGTGCTTGGGATTGCTCCAACCCACATGCAGGACCTTGTGCTTGGCCTTGAACTTCATGAGGTTTGCACAGACCATCTCTTCCACTGGTCCTTGCCCACTGAGTGCTCCAGCCATCAAATTAATTTATATTTTAGAGACAAGGATGTTATGTGAGAGACTAACAAATGCTTTGCACAAGTCCAGGCAGATGACATCAGTCACCCTTCCCTCATCTACCAGCTCTGTAGCACTGCCATAGAAGTCCACCAGATTTGTCAGGCACAATTTGCCCTTAGTGAAGCCATGCTGGTTGTCACCAGTCATCTCCTTATTTTCCATGTCCCTCATCACAGTTTTCAGGAGGATCTGCTTCATGATTTTGCCAAGCACAAAGGTGAGAGACTTACTGGATTTTTTCAAGGCAAAGGGTAGACATGGCAGGAAACACTTGGTACCATGATGTGCTAATATTGCCTGGGTTTTCATTCATCTGAGCTCAATCAACAATTTTTTTCTTCCCCTTAAACCAGAAAACAGCTTCATCCTTCCTACTTTGAGACAACACCCAAACCATGATAAATTCCAAACTGCAGTCATTTGGGCAGCAATCCTAAGAAACAGAATCATTATCAACAGAGACATCATCAATGGCATACAATGTTGATCCTAAAGAGGCTTTGCTGTGTGGGTCTTCCCATGAGGCCTTACTATGTGACCTCTTTTTGCCAGCAGTCACAGACACCCATGGTTAGATTTTAACAAGGAAAGCAGAGAAATGCTCCTATTTGTGTCACAACAGCACATAGGACATACATGTGTAGCACAATTCAACTTCCCTGCCATGAAGAGAACACACAGAAATTGCCAGCACCACACAGATTAGGCACAGTCACCTTCACCAGTGGCAAGGGGCCTTTCTCAGTCTCTGCTTTCAACTACTGCAACTAATTCAAGAAATGTACTGACTGAACTCTTGTATTGGCACACAGTGCCTGTA